CTTTTATATTTTTAATCAGGTGTAGAAGGCTTCCATCCAATGTTATAGATGACACAAGTGCAGTTATGATAAATTTAAAGTAAAATAATTTTCCAGTATTTAAAAGTTTGCCTTTCGGAGGAAAAACTCCATATAATCGAAATATTTTTATAGAACCAGTCATACAAACAATGTCTGGTTCTTGCTCTTTTTGCTCATTAAGTTCTTGCTTATTTTCCTTCTTCATGGCGATAGAAAATAAGAATAAATTTGGTATTTCTCGAGTAAATATAGGTACAATGGGTAATGCATAATTAATATGTTCACTGGTTTTGATACACCCACCGAACACATCTTCATAAACGTAGCCTACGTTCGTTCTGAAATTTAAAAGAAAAGATATTTATTGAAAAGTAAATAATAATTCTAAATTATTATTCAAGTAAACTTTAGTAACTTATCTTCGGAGTATTGATTACAATTTTATATTTTTTCTAACTGTAATATTCATTAAAGTAATGAAAGTCTTTTATTCAAAAGATTTTAAATACCTAGCTCGGTACGTCTATGAGAGAAAAGTAAGTGCACCTTAAAATTGATTTAACTATCTGCTTTATAATCAAAACACCTTCTTTCTGTACCAGTAATTTGAGTTGCAGTAACTATAAATTTATTTGTTTTTTAATTGTACATCACAATATTTAGAATCCATGTGGTAGAGCAGAATAATGTAAATACGTTGATGAAAAAATTTGAGTGGTCCAATACATGACTTTTCTGTTTAGTTAATACAGCTTTTTGTAGGTTATTATATACAACCTATTGTATTACCCTCGTCAATGTTTAGAACAGGGATTCCAAAACTATTTTGGGTAAGATACCCATTTTCCAAAATGAACTCATACCTCAAACCCCCCATAGCCAAATTAGTTTAAAAATCCTCTCTAGTTTTTTTCCTATTGATACAAAATACTTACTAATTTAAAAACTTTGCAGTTGGTTAAAAAAATAAACACAAAATTCAGTAAATATCAAGTGCAATTAATAATTATTATTAAGTAGGTAATTATTTAAAAAAATTAAAAAAAATCGCGAAGTAAAGATAAATAATAAAAATTTAGTGTGATGGACGAACCTGGTGACTTTCTACCAATCTAGCTAAATATGGTTCAATATTGGTGAGTTGCAACCTTAAATATCCGCGACTGTTGATATTCAAACGGTTTCATTGTTTTCTCAAAATGTTTGTAACTACACTAAAGCCTTTTTCGACTAGGTATGATGGAAAAGCGATAAGGTATTTTTAGCAATGTTCCACAATAGAAGATACTGTGTTTCAATGTTGCGTTGCAACCAGAACTTCTGATAGCCTTGGTTGAACTTCTGCTTAAGCTCCTCTTCTGTGCTGATGGTGTTCAACTCTTCTTGCATTTTCACATTTGCTTCTTCCATGGCAGTAATATTAAACGGATTTATTATCGATTGAGGAATTTGTAAATTTAAGAGATCCTTGTTTAATGCGTCCAAGTGAGTGACATATGATAAAATAACATCGTCTTGAAGCATTTCTGGTAATTGTGACAAATGCGAACACTAGAATATTTTTTCGGCTTAAGGTAGGAGTTTAATTGCTTTTAATTTTAGTTCCGAATGAACTTGAAAATAATAAAAGATGAAGACCTAAGATTTGTTAGACATTTTTTAAACAAATCAGAGCAGTTGCTAACGCTAATATAAATAATGCAACTTTAAAAACAATCAAAATAAAAGTTTAAACAATTATAAAAAATTAAAATATTATTTTTTTACGCAGACAAGCAAATAGTCTATTAAAAACCAATTACAATTACGTTGAAACCAATTCTCAAATCGATGTAATAACGAAGAAAATTTAAAAATAAAATGCAAGCCGAAATTTAAAATTATACACGCGATACCTTCTTTACCGATGGTTTTAGTTCCCGCATTCTTTGACAGATCGAAAAACAAGCCAGTAAACTTGTTTCCATGGCGATTTCAAACATTCTATTCGGAATATAGTTTGGAGCACGAAATCTGTACCTATTCAAGAGTACCTGTAATTAAAATAATGGCAACATTGTCAAATCACTTTGCACTTTGTATGTATTTGTGACTACACCGTATTTTAGATTTTCTTGTTTTATTTCATGGAGCTGTAAAGTCATTTAGTATAATTTTTTTAACTGCTTGAGAAAACTTAGAATTAATATTAATTAGGATTTGGACTTGTATTTAATTTTTTTTTAATCTGAAATATAATTTGTTCTATTTAAAAAAATATTAATGACGTCATAGTTTCGTGAAATAGATAATACACTGCATAAATGATATAAATGGAGCTTTAAAGTCATTTGGTATAATTTTCTTAAAAACTGCTCAAGAAAAAATTTAATTATTATTAATTAAGATTTACATTTAATGGGACTAACATTTTAAATATAAAATATCATTTGTTCGATTTAAATAATTATTACTGACATCATAGTGTCGTGAAATAGAAAACATAGTGCATAAATGGCTTTAAAAGAAGAATTTACTCACCACCTGTCAAACAATAGATGCTAGCATAAAGGTGTTACACTTACTACATTTCTTAAGTTTGGAGCACGTCACAATCTTCCCCAAAAGGCACAATGAAAAACTTTTTAATTTATAAGGATTTTAAATTATATCAAATAAATAGCTTAGTGGAGTCTCTTTTTGAGTCCACCTTTTTCGCTGTCGAGTTTACAACCAACTTCCTTGTTTAATTTTCCTACCTAATTTTTTGAATATTGCCGATCTGCAAAATTTTTTGTAGTTTAATCAAACTTAAATTAGCTGGTTGATGACCTGATATTATTTTAATTAAGCAATATAATTTCCTTATTATTTCCTACGTATATTAGCAACTCGGCAGTATTTTGTAATCGGTTTTAAATTTGTTTAATTATCTATGTTTTGACTTGCTGAAATGTTGAATAAAAAATAAAATGAATTTGTTAAATTTACTTTAATTTACTTTAAAAATCACTAAGAAAAATTATTATTAATATTTTTGGGATTTGTGACAATAGAAGGTAATAGGTTTATAACTCCATGGCTTCTAGTGAGCAAGGCTCCTATTTATAAGGGCGTTGCGACATAGTCTTCCATCTTGGACGCTCTTTTTACTCGAAATAGTAGTCGCAAAGCCTGTCTGTTTAAACTATAAACTGATGGTTCAAATAGTTAAATAATTGTAAGCAGACTGTATAAATTTTTTATTTTAATTCTTGACTTGGCGACATTTCTTTTTTTTTGTCAGTTATTATTATTATTATTATTATTATGTCACAAAGAATAATCAAAGTACATCTAAACTAATAAAACAAAATATATAAACAAAAGTTTTTAAACATAACTCCCTCCTTTGAAGGTTACCTTCAAAAACATAACTACATAAATTAAATACTACAGCTAATTATCAGTGGCGAATGGACTTAGTATCCGTAGCCAAGGGAAACCTAAATTTAATCACACACATCAGTGTCTTCCTGGAGTGGTAGAAGACATAGATGTCTTATGGATCTTGTGGTCTTTCCATTTGATATAAGAACTTCGGCGACTCTTGAAATTCCATTTTTACTGGAGAATAGCTGAGTGATACGTCCAAGAGGCCACTTATAAGAAGGTTGCTTATCGTTACGTAAGAGAACTAAAGAACCATTGCTTATTTTTGTAGGTTCTTCTTTCCATTTATATTGGGCATGTAACTGGGAAATACAGTGTTTGGAAAAGTGAGACCAAAATTGTTGACATAACTTTTGGACATGCTGTAACCTAGTTAATCTGTTAGATTTGATCTCTTGTAAGTCATGTTCAGATATTGAACTTATAGAGCGTGCAATGAGAAAGTGAGAAGGAGTAATTGGAAATAAGTCATTAGGATTACTTGACAGAAAATAGAGGTCTAGAATTCAGGATACTTTCTACTTGAATAACTAGTGTATTGAACTCTTCAAAAGTGACATTATAATTGATTAGTGCTCGCTTTAAATGATGTTTGGCACTTTTTACAGCTGCCTACCACAATCCTCCAAAATTTGGACTATATGGAGGTATAAAAACCCAACGTATGTTGTATTGACTAGTAGTGTCGATAATAGAGTTTCGGTTTGTGTATAAAAAGTTGCCTAATAATTTGAGCTCGTTACTAGCTCCAATAAACGTACTACCGTTATCCGAGTAGATTTGTGATGGCACACCTCGTCTTGAGGTAAATCGTTTTAAACAAGCTAAAAAGTTCTCGGTAGTAAGATTGCTCACTATTTCTAAGTGAACAGCTTTTGTACAGAAGCATATAAATACTGCCAAATAACATTTAATTAGCTTAGCTCCTTTTCCTGCTTTATTTAAAATTTGAAATGGTCCGGCATAGTCGAGTCCAGTAATTTGAAATGGAAAACTAGGTTTAATTCGACTATCGGGAAAACTAGCCATAGGATACACTGAAAGCTTAGGATTAAATTTAAAACATACCATGCAATTTTTAACTGTTTTTTTTGCCAAATTGCGACCACCAATTGGCCAATAAAATTGCCTTACAGAAGCTAACAACAATTGGGGTCCTGGATGTAATAGTTGTTTGTGTTTATAATCGAAGATTAATTTTGTAAAAGAATGTTTAGAATCTAATAGAATTGGATGCTTAGTATCATAAGGCAAGTTAGTGTTTTTTAAGCGACCACCTACACGTATGATGCCATTGCTATCAACAAATGGTGTTAATGAAGACAACCTGTGTTTCTTATCTAGAAAATTATTTTTATTTAACAGCTTTAATTCAGAATTGAACGATTCGTTCTGAGCCAATCGAACCAAAACGTCATTGGCATTATTTAACTCAGAAACTGAAATGCAGCTTATTACACTTGTTTTTTAAATTATTAAAAAATCTTATGCAAAGCGCTGTAATGCGTTTTAATTTAAGCACATCAGAAAATTTGTCAAATAAGTAAAATATGCTTTCATAATTGGTAGATTGCAATGATACGGTAGTTGTCTTTTTTAATTCTGGTAATTGATTAAATGGAATAAAATAGTTAATAGAAGGCCAATTGAAAATGTTAGACTTGATAAATGGAGGGCCTGTCCACCATAATGTGGATTTTAATAGATTTTCTGGGGTTACGCCTCGTGAAGCTAAATCTGCCGGGTTGTCTTTACTATTTACGTATCTCCAGCTACCTAAATTTGAAATAGATTAAATTTTAGCAACTCTGTTAGCTACAAAAACTTGTAATAAACTAGGCTCTGTTTTAATCCAACTAAGGGCTAC